TTGACGTATGAAACCCGTTGTACCGGCGACGAACAAACAGGGTAGCCGAGATATGTAATGGGACTAGTCGCAGTCTTATCATGCCACGAGGAGATGCCTGTCGCTCTAAGACCGGCGATCCAGGATGCATGTGAGGCGCCAGAGAGAGACAATGCTTGCGTTTTGTGGTAGTTGAGGGAGGCATTGGACGCATCGGCATACCTACTGACTAGTTGTTGAAGCTGGTAAAATTCACCAAGATCGTTGAGGAAGACGAGAGTGTCATCTGCATACGCAAGAACTTTGACTGGATCGGCTACAGGAACGTGATGAGTAAGTGGTGTGGGGAAACGTGAATTCGTGTTAGCAATATAGTCAAAATCAAAGCCCTGAATATTCGGATGGTTGTTGATAGCACGAAGGAAGGGATCGAAAATGATGTTGAACAATAGCGGACTAATGGGATCCCCTTGGCGCATGCCGCGGTGGGTAGTAAACGGGGCGGACAGATTTCCATTGATGTTAACCTGTACCTGAGTGGTAGCCAACAGCGCAAGCAGTGATGATGTTAATTGAGGAGGCATGTTAAAGGCAGTGAGTATAGCGGAAAGGTAGTCAAGATTGACCCGATCATATGCCTTCTCCTGATCTAACAGTAAAGCAATGGACGTGGATTGAGTGGCCGTGGCAAGAGATTGGGCGCAATGTAAAATCATAGCTGGTTCACCAATGAAGCGCTGAGGCATGAAGCCAGATTGAGAGGAACTCAAGCGGGTGCGAAAGTGTTCCATGAGACGAGCGTTCAATAGCCTGGTGAAGATCTTAGCATCACAACAAATGAGACTGATGGGGCGCCAGTTCTGTAACAGTGACAGGTCGCCTTTCTTGGGAAGCAGCACCAGGCAAGTTTCCTGCCAAGATTGTGGGAACAGACCATGTAACAGAGCGTCAGAATAGACTCGAAGGGCGACAGCAGCTGTGGAAGTATGAGTCAGTAGAAGTTGAATGATGGCGTAGGGTATGGAGTCAATGCCAGGACTGGATTGTTTAGGGGCCCGTGTAGCGGCGTCGGCTAAATCATCCAAGGTAAAAGGCTCACATAATGCCGGGTGTTCAGAATCTGGAATTTGGTCAGTAGCAGGAATTTGGTCAGTGAAATACCGGATCGCGTCAATGTCCACCGCATCAGCAGTATATAAGCGGTCGTAATATGCGACTGCGGCTGCCTGCTTGTCAGTTGTCGTCTCACAGGTGGTGGTCGAGATGGGATGTATCAAGGTGGGGATGGCCCGTTGTTGAGTGCGTTGGGTGGCCAACCGCTTGAGGAAACCGGCGGATTTCTCACCTTGTTCTCGCCATTTTATGCCGGACCGTAGTGCTTGGATATCGGTTAGCTCCTGCTGAAGGTGGCCGATCATGGCTTCGATTTGTGGGAGGCGATCGTTGCGTATCTGCGTCGTCTTGTAGAGGCGAAGGTACTTGTTGCGTTTGCTTTGGAGGCGACAGAGCAGACGACGACGCCATTCGGCCTGTCGACGACTACAGCTTCTTGCGACTTGACGGGTAATTGCTTTAAGCTGATCCCAAACTTCCTGAGGCCTGATGCCAGCGGATTCGGAGGCTATTTGATCGTGGAACTCGCCAAGTTTAGCAAACAGACGTTGTTGAAAGAACTTGTTGTGAGCTAGTTGGGGGTTGATTCGCCATAGACCTTTACCAAAATCCGGGTTCGCAAATGTCAGTTGTGTAGAAAGTAGAGCATGATCGGTCCATTCAGAATGAACAAAGTGAACGAAGTGATCGGTTCTGAAATCTAAAAGTTGAGGATCCATAAACATGTAATCGATGGTAGAGAGTGTGGTGTTGCGGCGAAATGTGGGCACCAAAGGGTCCTGACTTAATTCATGCGTACTTTCCTGATAATAATGGGTAAGCACCGAGTGGAAAAGCCATTGTGGATGAATGTTAGTGGATGCCACGGTGGGTGGTGGGCGATATTGACGAAAATTGTAGTTGAAATCACCTAACACAATAGAGGGAGCATCAGGGACGGTGGCCAGGTAGTTGTTATGCATCCCATCAGCGGTGTGCATGTTGTTGAGAAGGGCTTGAAAGAGAGGCTGCTGAAGTAGTTGGTCATAAAAGGCATATCGGTCGGAATGAGTGGCAGGTGCGTAGATATTCATGATCTTTAAAGGGGGAAACTTGTTAGTAGAATGGGAAACATTGCAATATATAACTCGACCGTCCTCGGAAACAAAGATAGGATCTAGAATAATGTGAGGTTGAAGACTTACTATCCCGCAGTGGGATGTCCAAATGGATGATTGAGCTTGTAGTTGTATGTTGAGGCGGTTTTGGATGGTGGGTTCGTGGGCGTGGGTTTCTTGGAGGCAGAGAATACTGGGAGGCGGGTCGTATGAATGGCGCAGAAAGCGACAAAAGGATTGACTGGCGGGGACGTTGGATGGTTTGGATAAGCTACGACAATTAAGACTACGAATAGACAAGTGAGTGTGTTGAATATTATTTGAATTAGAAGATACCGAGGGGACAAAGACATTAGGAAGAGGAGCCGAACGATTGACTAGAGGAGATAATGAAGGCTCACTCATTGATGAGATTCTTCGGGGTCAGTCGAGTGTGCACTAGGGTGGAATTCTTCGGTGACCTCCATGAAATCGGATTCGACGACATTGCCAAAGAGATCGTACAGCACAGGTTTGCGTAATTGAGATGCTATGCTGGGCTCAAGTAATAGTTGACCGAGGTTGGAGTGAATGTTGGGAGTACGTTTGGGAGGGCGAGGAAGCAGTTCAGCGGAAAGCGCTTGAGCTTTGGCTGTGGAAATCCAATTTTGGGAAATGAAGAACTTGAGAACACCTGGAACAGTATGAAGCTTGACAAAGCGTACTGTGCGGACGCATCTGTCGGCGTGAAGAGCGGCGGCGATACGAACCAATTGAGGGGCAGGCATATCAGCAAATTTGGGGTCGGCAACGTGTTGAGCATCGAGAGGGTTGAAATCAGGGATCGCTGTGAGCCCACCTTCAGTCAAACGGCGAAGGATGTCGTCTCGGTAGTCAGTGTGGATCAAGATGGTAGCGATATTGCGAGCCGGGAAAGTAACGTCGAGGATGCGCTTACTATCGATGCCAACGGCAGCGAGAGTGGCACGGTATTCGGCGTGAGACATACGGTGAGCACGGTGGAGATGAATAACATCATAGGCAGGAGTGTCAGTAGGAGTGCGTGGTGGTTGAAGAACACGGATGGCATGTTCGCGGCGGCGTTTGGGGTTGGCAGAAGCAGGACGTTGAAGGACTTGTGTCCATTGGGGTGGCTGGGTACCTGATGGGTGGGGTTGAGGCTGTGGAGCTGGCGTCGTAGAGGCATCCGAGTTGACAGTGTTGGGAGGGTTGGCGGGAGCGGTGGTAGGAGAGCGGACGAGCTTCTCGAGATTGCTGATAACAGAATGAAGGTTATTCACATCCTGTCTGAACTGATCATTCAGGGCCTGTTGAGCCTGTTGCGCTTTTTCAAAGACATCGAGACGAGAGTGTAATGCCTTCACAGATTCCACAAGAGCGAGAATGGCGGATTGGTCGATCACGATGTTTGACATGTCGATCAATCGTTACAATGTTTATTTGTTGTTTGCGATCGCTTTTTCAGGGATTTTTCTTACAGCGAGGATCAAACTATGTAAAATTTGAAAAGCGAAAGAAAGGTCGTCTCTAATATATTTACCAGAAAACTATATAAAAAAACGTCGGAATGGCCAATCAGAGATCAGAGACGTAAAAAACTTAAAGCACTGAGTACTGTACAAGGTTCGAAAAAACCACTGGCGAAGCTGGCACTGGGGAGGGAGACTTGGTATCTAATTCAACATTTGGTAGCGTTGACCTATAAGGGGGTTTTGCCTCAGCGAAGCGAAGGTGCAAAACCATAGTATTCAAGCAGCAAATTCAGGTTTCCATTTCCATTATTAATAGACTTATAAACAACATAACGCATCAGAATTTGCATGAGTTAGCTTTACCAAAATCAATATTCGTTCTATCTGAACTAGAAATTGCACAGGCCGCAGAAATGCCCTTCCTCCTGAAGATTTCAGCTACCAAGGATGCGCTTCATGCCGTGTAAATAAAAGCTATAAAGCAATACATAACCAAATTTGACAGCTTTCAGGCCTTCATACCTTGACATATAGACCTTTATGAGCCGCCGGAATAACGCTAAACAATTGTACTTGAGTAGTAGTAACTTCCTAACACCTTTGGTCAACTTTTTGGGACCAAAAAAAAACATGGCCAAAAATCGACTAAAAAGCATGAGGGGTACCTCATTGTTTTTCATCAAAAATCAAACGATCGCGTTTTTACCTTGTAAATGAAGACTTTTACTCTGGTATATATTGAATCAAAATTTTCCTCTTAATTCAAAGCAGCTTCTGAAACCACTTTTATGAGGTTTTCATATGCAAAATTTTGACATTTTGGCCTAAAACCTCATATCATATTTTCTTGAACTGCTCAATAAGTTCAGTCAAAACATCTATTTTACTTGGTACCATTGGAAGCGTCTTGAAAAGTACTCCAAGAATGTATTAGGAAGCATCGGATGATTATTACAGTTTATATAGTCGAACATTACAAAATTGCTCTGTCAAGTCCAAAATAGACGAAATTTGTCCAATCTTGAATAGAAAAAGATAAACTGAGTTTGAATTGATTTTGGCGGCGGCGCTGCTACTGGCTTACCCAAATGCCTTTCTGATGATGTAAATGACGATTGTGATGCTGATTAAATGGGGGACAATGAAGTTGAATGAACAATTGTTTTGCTTGAAGACTTTTTTGGGAAGTTTTACCTCATAAATGTGTCTTTTGCAATGACAATACCTCAAAAAAAAACGCTATAGATCTTACACAAGTCCTGTATTTGCGCATAACCAGCATTATGCGCCATCTTAAGAGCATCAGCAGCAAATGGTATAACGATTCTACCATCAGAATATGGAGATCGTGGTTTATAAATGCCGCATAAAACTTGAGTACGTCAAGGATCATTTCGATGCTATTGTAATATCTTTACAGTCTCAGGCCGCTACGTCTACATCCACTGGTGAAAGTGCATCCATCCCAGCTACACCGGTTATTGCTCCTTCTGACTCTGTAGCGTTCCTTCGCCGCGACCTCTCTGGCATGAACATGGCATCCGACATGTCTTCTGTGTCTGGCGCCCCTTTACATGCAGCAATGTCTTCAATCTCGCATAATCCCTCTGATATATCCATAGTTGAAGCTCCCCCAGACAATGTAGAATACCGCACTTGTACCGTGTCTTTCAAGAGCCTTTTACGAAAGGGCGTGCCTTCCGACCTCGTCGAGTCATTTTTGCAGAAGCTAAGTACTGCATTGCATGATGTATCTGACTATGTTATGGACTTGCAATTGGTGGTATATACATTGATGCTCTCAATGAAGTCTTCGCAGCTCTTAGCTTGTAGTGGTAATAGATTCTCTCCCCTCACCCATCTCGGTGCTGATGAAGGCAATTTGACTGATAGTACTGGTACTGCTGCTGGTAGCGATGGCAATGGCGTTGATCAAGTTATTACGAACGATGCTATTGACAAGGATGAAATTCGTGATGGCAGTGTTAAATGCGATGGAGATCTCAATGGTGATGATGGCGACGCCGGCGCTACTGCTAATGACCGTGGTCAGACAGCAATATTTGAACCTCTGCCAGAGTCATACAAGATGCGTGCTGAAGATATCGACTTTGGTTCTGGCCAATTCATGAGGCGAAAGATCACTTTGAAAGACAAGAAAACAACAGAAGAAGGAAAGAGGGTTCAAGAGATTCAGCAACAATTGCTGAGATCCAGTGTGTTCAGAGCCAAAGAGGTAGAGGATATCATGTCAAATCTTGATGCACACAGAAGCAATGGCCAAGCATTGCAAGCGTTCTACCACTCAAAGAAGCAGAATACTCTCTCTAACAAGGTTGAGCACTTTGACAGGCGTTTCCGTTCTCGTTTCGCTTCGCATGAAAGATCCTTTTGCGCTGGTGTTCGTCCCCAAACATCACTTACAATGTTCATTGGAGATCGTGGTCATTGTGCCGGCTCTCGTTTGAAGGGCCACATGAAGTTTGGTGGAAAATGGAAGCCTCGCTTACATTCATCTGTCGCCACTGTGCATACTACCAACGAACACAAGACATCCCAGGCGTGCATGTACTGCTTTGGTCCCATCTCTCATCCCACACAAACCATCAGAACAAAGGATGGTAAGACCAAGACGAGGTCCATTCATGGAGCATTCCTGTGCTCAAATCCTGCCTGTGTGTCCGTTCTCAATCACAGAGCCATTCAAGGTAGAGACAAGACATCTGCTTTGGCCATCGCTGTCTCTGGGCTTTCCACTCTCTTATTTAGACAGCCATTGCCTGTATTCAACCCAAAACCTAGTCAATCCAACACTGGCATTATCTCCAAGATCACCTCTTTCTGCAACAGAAACGAGAAACGGGACGGCAGCGGTGCTGCATTCGCGGACGCTTGAGTCTTCAAGGTAATAATGTGCTCAATCTGGCTTATTCAAGGGACTGTTTTACTAATGTGTCATTTATTATACTCGCAAGATTCAAGTTTTCGGTTTCTTTCTCTGAATTTGGTGATTTTTGCTCAAATTTCGACTTGCTCGACTTATTTTCGGATTTCAATCTATTTTATATTTTTGGATTTTGTAATGACATCGCAACACCCACTTCCTGAGTTGTGGACTCATGTCGTTCGCAACAACAAGAAGGGCAAACTACGACAACAACAGCAAAATGTTTCATTCAATCCTACGTTGATCACCCCTCCTGCCGACTCGATCCAGAACGCGTCTGCAGCTAACACCACTCCTCCCAAACCTATTGCAATGGTTCGACCATTCATGAATGGGATAGAAGAGGACTCGGTATTCATAGACTTGACTACAGTTAAAGATAGAACTCTTCTGGACAAGGCACTTGTCAAGTTCAATGAAGAGGCAGAAAGAGATGATCTGTATGAGGATTTTCTAGGATATCGAAAACAAACTAGACACTACCTTGGTCACCAATTCTTGGAAACTCTTTGGCTACCAAATGCAGCTGGCCGAAAAACTCTCATCGAACAAGGAATTACCTTGGAGGATGGGACCTACCTGAAGGGCTTTCCCTCTTTTACCGAAGATGCCAACATTGTGCGTATCACTATGGAGAAGCTACCTTTTCTTCCTGCTGTCCAGCTGAAGAAAGAAATGGCGGAGCGCTTCTCTTGTTTTGGAGACGTATTGGATCATGGTATTTTCAAGACAGAGACTGGTATCTTTCAAGGTGAAGGATATGTCACCCTCAATCTCACCTTATCCAATGTTCCTGGTAATGAATGTATGGATTCACATGAAGCTGGAGTTGAATGTAGTGGACAGCGACACTTGGAACCTCTCAAGAGAGTTATCATTTGGGACACTCGCTCGAAGGAAGATGACCAGCGACAAATCCTATTACAATGGGATCAAATGCCAGCCTTTTGCCGCCAGTGTCAGAAACCTGATCACTGTCGTGCTGACTGCCCAGACTACCACAAATGGGCAATATGCTACCACTGCAACAAACGTGGACATGTATCGAAGAATTGTGATAGAAACAACGCAGAATCGGTACCTGCAAAGGTTCGTGCTGTTGACAGAACTTCTGCTAAGCCCAAGGAACGAAAGGGAGCCAAGCCTACTCCCCCAAAGAGGGCCGATCCTGAACGTCGAAGCAAACCAGTAGAAGACAAGGATCATATCATGCAGGATGCTCCTCAACCTAATGCTGATGCACCCTCCCCTGAAGCTTCTCAACAACAAACCAAAATAACTGGAGATACCATTATGGAAGAGAACAACACGAATACAAAGTTTTCTGATGCGGATGCATTAAACAGTGTTTCCAAGGATGTGCGCAGATCTCATCCTGAATTTGATCCCTCGAAAGCAGCGAAGAAGTTAACCCGCCAGGAAGGATCTTTAGATATCGGTTATGCCAGATATCAACACGCTGAAACCTCTAACCCCCACAGTGATGCCAGGCGCATGTCTGGTGATGATACGGATACGATTGATAGGAATTTGACACCACCTGCACCTCCAGGTACATCACCTTCCACCAATCTTTAAATATGAATAATATCCACTATCAACTCAAAATAGCCACCCTCAATTGCCGTGGCTTAATCAAATCAGAAAATCCCAAAAAAAGACAACAATTCATTCGATATCTTCGAACACTAGAATATGATATACTGGTGTTACAAGAAACACATGCTACAAACTCAACATCAATTGACATACTCAATAATCATTTTATCAGCAAATCAAGTCTCTGGACACAACATTGTGGCATCATAGCCCTCAACAAACATTTAACAATTAATCTTATATCGGAAGGCATCGATGAGGGACGCTATATACTAGCTTCTGTTCACCTAACTCGCGATATACAGGAATCTACAACTACAACACCAATTGCAACTATTCTAAACATATATGGTCGATCATCGCTTCCATCAGCTCGATCAGCCTTTTATACAGAACTCCTTGACATACCCATTGTTAAGGATACTATTACCAACACACTACACAACACTTTTATTATGGGGGACTTTAATTATCAATACAAGGATCGAAGGATGGACGGAACATTGTCTAGCGCCCCTAAGGAATGGACGGATCTGTTAGATGACTACTACATTGACATTTTTGGAGATGACAAACAGATAACATGGCATAGTGGGAGAAACTCGGCCATCTTGGATTATGTGTTTTGCAGTACGAATGCTCATCATCAAATTCCTAGTATCCATCAACAGTATCTCTCTCCAGAATGGACGGATCATGAATTATTAGGCTTCACTTTCAAGTATCAAGACAACAATGGACGAGGACCTGGCAGCTGGAAGGCTAACCCATTTTTGGCTCGCAATCGACAGTTTCGCAAGGCATTAGCCGAATTTCTCTTGGCTAATGAAGAGCAATTTACACTAATCAAATCCTTTTCTACTCCTCAACAACAGTGGGATTGGGTAAAAGCTGAAGTCAAGATTTTCATCAAGTCATTTCAATTAGAAGATCTGAATTGGAGGAAGAAACAACTGCATCAGTTACTGTCCAAGCGAAACAAGATGATGAGACAACACAAGCATAGAGGTTTGGTTTTCCAAGGCCTCGATCATGTCAATACTCAAATCAAACTACTGCAACACACTATAGCGGAAATTGAGATTCTCAAAGCCGGCAAGTTTTGGAGGGAAAATGGTGAGAAGTCTGCTGGTTTCCTGAAGAGGAGAGCTTTGGCCAGAGAGAATCAGCGCTCTATCACTGAATTGAGGGACCCCACTACTGATGAACTCTGTCGCGATCAACAGGGTATCTCCACCATAGCGACTAACTTCTACTCTACTCTATTTACTCCCGACCCAACTGATTCAGTAGCTCTTAGTACTTTGATACGATCCATCCCTGGTCATTTGAAAATCTCTAGTGAACAGCAGGAATCTCTGATGTTATCAATCGACATGGAAGAACTCTTGGAAGATAGCAAACACACCCGCAGACTCAGCAGCCCTGGCCCAGATGGCCTGCCTTACGAGGTTCTGTACTTGGTTTTGAAATATCCTCCGTTGCATGCCCTTGTCACCGATATATTCAACACAGCTCTACAGAAGGGTAAGTTTCCTAAATCTTGGAACGAAACCATTATGTGTCTTTTGTACAAGAAAGGCGATCCAGCTCACATGAAAAACTATCGACCTTTATCCTTGGCCAACTCGGATTACAAGCTTTTTACTCGATGCATCAACCGGCGTATCATGGACGTCTCTACCCAGCTTATCAGCCGCCACCAGTTAGGATTCATTCCAGGACGATATATTGCTGAAAATGGTATGATTTGTCAACTAATCATGGAAGACGCACAACGAAAATGGACAGTTGCGGAACAACGGGACGACGATCCTACATTTGGCTCTTTGGATACTGATATTGGCCTTCTCCTTGATCAAGAAAAGGCATATGATCGTGTAAATTTAGACTACCTTCGGCACGTCTTGCTGAAATTTGGCTTCCCCCGCCCTTTGGTGAAATGCATCTACAAGTTAATGGGTGACAACCTGATTCGCATCAACCTCAATGGACACTTATCGTCCGAAGTGGCGAAACTGAGAGGTTTGAAGCAGGGTGATCCACTGTCTCCAATCCTATACAATCTAGCTTTTGAACCCTTCTTGTTGGCCATAATTAACGATCGTCAATTCCAAGGGTACCTTATGGGAACTGAACAAACCAAGCTTCTTTGTTATGCTGATGATGCCTTGGTATTTGTCCATGATTCTGCTGATCTCGCTCGGTTGCAAATACATATGTCCAGGTATTGCGGCGCTTCCAATGCCAAATTCAACTACGATAAGGTGGAGGCCTTTTCGGTATCTGGCAGAGATACATGGGATATTTGGGAGACCTCGTTGGCTCAAATCCACATCAATCATCTACATTCCGTTGAAGATGATGTACCTTTAATCTATTTGGGGTTTCCTTTGGTTCAAAGTCGTCTCCAACGTGTCAACTTCATGGGCTCGCTGGTAACAAAGATCAAAATTGCCACTCAAATACATTCTACTCGATCACTGTCGGTTGTCGGTCGAGCTACTGTCTTGAACTCTCTTTTGCTCTCCAAACTTTGGTACATCCTACGGGTTACTCCGTTGACTCTGGCAGACTTCAAACAGCTGAGATCTCTTGCCATACAATTTTTGAGAAAGAACATATTCCCCGTCATCCCATGGTCTGTCTGGACTCTCCCAAAGGAACAAGGTGGTCTCGGGGTGATCGACATCCAGCTACAAGCTTCAGCGTTGTACTTTCGATGGTTGCAACCTTTGTTGGTGTATGATCAATCCACCATTGATGCCCATCCTGTGTCATCTCTTCTCAGCCATCACATTCGAAATGTTAACAACTGCCAATTTCACCAAATCCCTTTGCTTTTTCCCTCGTCTCGTTCTCAAGGGTTACTGAAACAACGAACTGGCACTGTGGATATGATATATCGTGCTGTTGATTATCTCCCTCGTTCTTTTGGCTCTGCCCGCATTAATACAGCTACTGCTATGGCGTTGCCACTGCAGGCTGCAGTGTTTGTACCTCCCTCCTCCAGCTTCGTGCTTCCCCTTCGTGTCAAAGAAATGATGGTGGCCGACGTTTTTCAGTATGATTCCCGGCTCAATTTCGTCCATTGGAAGGATACTCGCGACCCCTCTCTGCTCACCTGGAAAAGAACTCCCTCCACAGTGTTCAAAGGCCTAGCGACAGGGAAATTACAGTTTCAACCTTACTTCGAGCCAGTCTGTAGCCCAGCTCCTTTAGAGGATTCAGTCGTCTCATTTGCTCCTTTGATTGAGCAGTTTCGTCTCCTTGATGATCAACCTCTTGGTAATGTTCAGGCCTCGGCTAAGGCATTTCGTCGGGCTGTCCTTTCGTCTGTGGTCTCTCCTTTGGCATTGCGCAAAATCTCTGCGTCCAGCTGGAAATTTTTTTGGTCCCTGTCTCTTACCACTGTCCAACGTAATGTGATATACCGTCTCATTCTGGGTCGAATTCCTCACCGTCGATTTTTGCATTTTATTATGCCCAAAGTCTTTGTGTCTCCTCTCTGTCCAGTTTGTTTGTCTATGAACGATTCCCCAAGTCACCTCCTCTTTCATTGTCCTTCTAAAGAGAAAGTTTGGCAGGGAGTCATCTTCGAGTTTCTGTGGCCTACCACCTCGATTCTAGATATTAAAGAGGCTCTTCTGCAACTTGATTTCTCCAACGTTTGGTATTGCCAAATTGCTGGAATCAAGCCTTTCCGAATCCTCATCATCACCCTTGGTCAACTGTGGCTTGCCCACATGAGGTTCATCTATGACAATGTTCCTATGGACCATACAGCGATATTGGCCAGTATTCGAACCAGTGTTCGTCAGACCATTGCGGAAGATCAGTGCCATTCCCTCCTGTAATCCAAAGCCAATTATTAGATAGTTTTTTTTTTATATAGTTTAGTTTAGTATATTATTCTTCATATTTTAGCTTATAGTTATCCAATTCTTTATCTAAATTGCACTCGCCTCTTCACTCTGACCTATTACTCTCAGTGTACGCGAATCAATCAATAAACAAAATTTAAAAAAAAAAGACTTATTTTCGCAGATTCAACTATGCAAACTGTGATAATTACTCGATACTTTCTAAAGCAATCTAGGAGTACTTTTCAATGCGTATCTAATGGTACTAATTAAAAGAAATGTTTTGAATGAGCTTATTGAGCAGTTACAGAAAACATGAAATGAGATTTTTGGCCAAGATGTCAAAATTTCACATAGCAAGGTCACACAAGAATAATTTCAGAGGTTGCTTTGGATCGCTACAAACATTTTGATCTAAGATATGCCATAGTAAAAGTCTTCATTATGGGGATGAAAAACGCGATCGTTTGATTTTCGACGAAAACCATGAGGTATCCGTTGTGCTTTTTGGTCGATTTTTGACCATGTTTTTTTGGTCCCCAAAAAGTTGAGCAAAGGTGTCAGAAAGTAAGTACTAATCGAGAGCAATCGTTTAGTGCTATTCTGACGGTTTAAAATGGCTTCTACTACGAGAAATCACATCTCAAATATGTTCAGTTTTCGCTGTATCTTGCATAGTTTGGAGTCGTAATAAACACTGTAAGCATGCTATCTGGGTCTATTCAATCTGTTTTCATTGAGACAGGCCAAGTGCATCGTGAAAGTATCAGATATACAGTTACGGCTCGTTTATCAGAGGTTCTCACGGCATAATGGAACGTCAAAAAGGAAATTGCAGCATGGTTTTTTGGGATTGGACGCTCTTGCAGTCATTAAGCTCAAGCCTCATCTCTGCTAATCAAAATCAAACATGTTTATGGAAATAACATCCGCCATGATATGCTATAACGAGGCCTATATGTCTCTCATTTCCAGAAGAATCAAGCCACTTATTCAGATTCATTGGATGATGTAAATTATGTCATTGGCAACGTAGAGTTATGTTGAGGCCGAAGCACACGGAAGCTTGAGCTTGCGATGAATGTTGAAGACGAATTTGATTCGATCAAGGAGGTTCTTCTGTTAATTATGACTTCCAACCACTAGCTGGCTAATTTGATTCATGTGCATGATGATCTGATGTACACAACAATGGCAATGAATATAGCATCTTACGATATGCAAGCGTATAAATAGCTAAACATGCATTATGAGTTCATGACAATAATAAACACTTCATGTAAATAGCCAATAGTAACCGATCAAGCATTCATCTCTTTACTTGTTTCGAGAATGCTTTGTGTAAAACAACCAATTTAAACACCACGCCACTGCTTTACCCCTTCAATAAATCGTACAACTCTCGTGTGCATTTAGCAACATTTATTTTAACCTTTCATTTTTTTTTTCCTTTGCCATTATTACTTTCTCTCATTCTATTCCCATAACGCACAGATGCCACATCTTCATCCATTCCAAGATTCGTTTTGGGCTCCTACAGCGTCCAACGATTACAACATTGGATACTCAGTCCTGCATAGTAAACTCAAGCAATCTACGGCCGAAAATAAAGTTATTGTAGATTACATTAAGCAACGAATCAATGCCGAGAAGAATCATGCTACATTGCTAGCGAGTATTGTCGCTCCTACTACACCTTTCGAGAGTGATGTTGGCGGCGCGCTCAAGAAATGCTTCGAAGTTGTATGCGCAGAGAGTCAGGATTCAGCCAAGGAACATACAAGCAGAGCCAACGACCTAAACACTACGACATTGGATCCCTTGGTACAGTTTTTCAACAGATACGACCGCATCATCACTCAAGCCAAGAAGACAGTCGAATCTCAAATCAATCAGTTCGATGTGGCATGCAAACTTATGGAGGAAGCCAAGCTATTCTATGTAAATCGATGTAAAACCCTGTTGGCTGTCCAGCCTGACTACACAGATGTGAAAATGGGAAAGGCACTGCAATTCCCAACACGTGATCATGCTTGGGTTTGGTTCACAGATCTGTTCAAGGAAGAAGAATACACTAAAGAGCAACTCCAGGATCTGCTAAAAGATATGGTCTCCGACGAAGAAATTGTAATCAAAAGCCTGCTGGATATTCAATTCTTGAAACTGGAGGATAACAAGTATATCAAGCAACAAAGTCTGATTGCTTCTGATGAGACAGACAACACAGTAGTATCGGAAAGCAAAGGATTCTCTGGATTTCTGGGTAGATGGGGCGGTCAACAACAAGCCAAGAAAGAAGATATGCTCTTCGACATGATGGAGGCAGACAAAGCGTATCAACGATCAGTGACTCAAGCAGAGCTTTTACGAACACAAACTGAACAAGTGCTATATGTTCATTATGAAGAGATGGAAAGTTTGGAATTGGAAAGAATTCAAACGATTAAGCAAGGTACATGTTTATCGCAAAAGCACCTGCCGCCCCTATCTGACATGTCGGACAACAGCATTTATTAGTATGGCGGCCTCGTTATCAAATACAATTCCTAGATGCAAAGAGACATTCGATAATATGATGCTTTACCAAGAGACGTTGAAGCCAGACAAAGATGTGCAGTTTATTGTTGAACAATACAGAACAGGGCAATACTGCCCGAAACCTATCCTATACGAAAATTACTTTCACAGTGTTGCTGCAGGTACATGGTTACTCGCAGTAGTATTGTTATTGCTGCACATATTAACATTGCATACTACACAGATCAACTTTTTGGCGTTTCACTAGAAGAAATTGCAAGAGTACAAGGTACAATGGTACCACGACTGATCACTGTAGGTTTATCTGTGATTGAATCAGGTGAGTTGAAGCTATACACATTGCATCGTACGTTCAACCTCTAAATTTGCTGTTAAAAATAGGCTTCTCAAAATTGTACGATGAGGGTAAATCTCCTAGATTATCAAGATAGCTAGGATGTGATAAGAGACTAATGTACACTGTAGAAAAGAATGTTGTCTGGACAGCCAGTTTGCCATTAGACAGAGTGCATGCAGCGCGAGCAGAGATCAATACTAGCAAGCCAATTACATGTGAGTCTCTGCAGAAGTTTGACCTCCTGTTGCTAGCGTCTCTACTTCGACTCTACTTGTTGGAGCTACCCGAATGTTTGTTTACATTTGAATTATATGAGCCATGCAAATTATTGTACTCGAATCGTAAGTTTTGCTCTGTTTCTTGTGCGACAGATTCGCGGCTAATACATTTCATTCTCAAATGTAGAGAATCAAGATACGGACAGTCGGTTAATGTCGATCAGCAAGCTATTGGCGACATTACCAACAGCCAATTATCACACAGCGATGGCGCTGTTGGGCCACTTTCATAAGCTTGTAAAGCAAATAACCACGGATACCCAATTCACATCATCGTCATTAGCCAAATCATTCAGTTATATTCTCATGAGACCTCACACTGAATCAAAAATCAGCATTCACGAAAAACATCCTCAGCGTTTGCTATATGACTTGATTGAGAACTTTGATGCTATTTTTACCCAAGAATCACACTATGCCCAGGAAAAGAACTCGTCGAGACCATCCATCATTATACCCAAGGAGAAAGAAGCAGCAGATCCCATTGCAAAGAAGAAGTCCAACTCGCTGGATGAAAGCAGCAGCAACAATAGTAGCAGTGCAAGCCCAAGCGCAAGAACTAGCACATCGTCTTACAATGTCACTAGGAGGTCGTCCATACTCTCCTCATTCATGCGCAGCAGTCAATCTACGCCTACTTCTGCTATGAAATCCAAACCGCCACTGATCATCCCCATGCCATCATCCAGTACGCTATTCGAGGACCCTGATGAAATTGAGCGATCCTCAGAGTCAACGGTAGTAACCACACCTCCGCATACAACGTCTTCCTCTATTGAGCCTCATCACAAATCAGTGCAGCTGGACGATAGTTACATGATGGAGGAACTGGCAAGTCTAGATTCCTTTTTTGAAGACGAGGATTAGGGCCAAAATTAGAAGGTTCTTAATGTGGTGTGATACGCTAGGTTTTTTTTATATCTCTTTTCATATCTGGATATCATACCAGAAAATCTTCTGAAAATGTCAAAGTAAATCATAGTACATCACTAAATAAAATCAAAAGCAGCACAATGCATTGCTCATTGTAGAGAATAGAGTTTCTAAATGTGGAGACATCAATGCAATTTTATTTGAAGGAAAAAAAAAGTGGAGAACATGATCAAAGACATAAATAAGCATGTCCATCAGACGAGGATAAGATTAGAAACTTGTCAAGGAATCGCATGATTCAGTACTCTGATGTCACCTTTGATAGGCTGGATTGAAACCTTACCTCAACTGTGTGTCCGCTAAGAGACAGAAAATGGGAAATATCTAGAATATATTGACAGCTATCATCCAGAAATCTTGGCCCGGCCATTCACTTTGCTCAGATTGATATCATAAACAGTTTGAATGATATCAAACGTAACCGATTCTGCCTCATTCGTATTCAATATCAAACATTCAATTAACTGACTTTACTGTGAGATGCAAGTGGAACATGAATACATTACATCTGGATCTTTCCCAATGTCTTGTAGTTACAAAAAGTCGAGTAACTATTGAAAGCAGGGATTAGCGAGATGGAATTTTCGGTTCAGATGTTCATCTTGATGTCGGTTACCATAGCATCACATTTTGCAAAATAAATGTCGTCTTAAACAACGCCCGGATCGGATATGAATACTAGAATGATTTGATCCCGTATCCTCTTCGTTTCCCGACCTATTCATGTTTCTGATTGATATCGAGACAGAGTTTTAATAGGAGACCTGTCAAAACTAAAAAAAAAAAAAAAAAAAAAAAAAAGTATATATAGAAGGCCATAAATGGGTCCTGAAAGTATCTTACCCTCATTTGAAATTCACAACATCATTCATACCCCACAACTACCACATATAAACAATGGCATTAGATAGTAAAGAATATCATCATGATGGAGATCACGATAGTGTGCATAGCGGACGTAGTCAAGTCAGTACAATGACAGCATACGATGTGGATGTCGAACAACCAGATATTGCACCATCACCACCAGCAGTAAATCGCGTGACAAAGATGTTGACAACCAACTCCTCCGAGCCGTATTCTGTATTCCCTCACAACAAAAAGCTATTGATCGTTGCCATCTGTTGTCTAACGGGCATCGTATCACCACTATCAGCCAATATTTATTTTCCTGCATTGGACGCCATCCAAAAGGTAAGACGACAGAGTTACACAAGATCAGAAAAATAGACATTCGTAACTGACAGATACATAGGATTTGGATACTACAACTGAATTGGTGAACTTGACTGTTACAGTATATATGATTTTTCAAGGCCTCTCTCCTTCATTTTGGGGCTCGCTAGCTGATCTATGGGGCCGTCGACCCGTTTACCTTGCCACGCTTATGGTGTACATGGGCTCTTGCATCGGTCTTGCATTGGCACCTAAATATTACGTTTTGCTCATCTTGCGTATGCTTCAGGCATTTGGATCTAGTTCTGTCATTGCCATCGGTGCTGGTGTAGTAGGTGATATTGCAACGCCCTCTGAGCGTGGTAGCTATTTTGGTCTCTTCTCAATGGGTCAGATGCTTGGACCTGTTATTGGTAAGTCAGAGCACATCACGCATTCCAACAGATGATACTCACATTCATTTATATAACAGGGCCTGTGATTGGCGGTATTATCTCTGAATACCTGTCATGGAGATGGATCTTTTGGATCTTGCTGATGGTCGGCGCTGCTTTCTTTATAGCCATCTTATTTTTCTTGCCTGAAACTCTTCGTAGCCTAGTCGGAAATGGCTCTGGTCATGCTAATCCCACTCCAATTCAATGGTGGAGACACCGTCAAGCTCAAAAAAATCGTCAAGAGCAACCTTACACTGATGACGATAGCTCCACTATCCACGACATCAAGAAGCCCAACCGTTTTCTTCAGATCCCCAACGTCACCCAGCCCTTCCTGTACTTGTTTGAAAAGGATGTTATTTGCGCATTGCTTTACAATGCTATTCATTATGCAACATACTACTGCTATCTGACATCCACTACTAGCCAATTTGTCTTGCTCTACAACATGTCTGAAATCCAGATTGGTCTCTGTTTCTTATGCCAAGGTGTTGGCTGCATCTTGGGCAGTTATTGTGAAGGCAAGCTGTTGGACTACGACTTTAGAAAGACAGCTACTGAATCTGGTTTCGGCAATGCTACCCGCGGTAAATTGCCTACTGAATTCCCCATCTTTCGTGCTCGTCTGCGCAACGTGTGGATTAGTGCTGGTTTGATTCAAGTGATCACTCTATTTTACGGCTGGATGCTCTACATTCATGCGCACTTAGCTGTCATCTTGGTTCTTCAATTCTTGGTTGGTTTTGCAAATACAAGTCTTTTCAATATCTTCCAAACTTTGGTGGTAGACTTATTCCCTGGTAAAAGTGCTACAATTACTGCCACCAACAACTTGGTACGTTGTTTGCTCGGTGCTGTTGCTACTGTCAGTATTGAGCCTGGTATCCAAAACGTAGGCGTTGGCTGGATTTTCACCATCATTGGCCTTGTTTGCGTCGCCTCCAATGTCTTGGTTCCTGTTCTCTTCAAATTCGGCCCACGATGGAGAAAAGAAAGGATTGAAAGATTGGCTCGCAGGTTGAAAGAGCAAGAACGTTAATTGTACATAATATCATCGTTTGTAATTATTCTTCACCATCTTATGTAATAATATTCCCCTTTATAAGCATTATAAATAATATCATACACATTTACGTGAGATTACGATACACGCAAACTGTCATTCTACACATACACCATAAAGTGTCATGTATAATCTGCAAAAATAAATGCCTAGTTTACTTGAGAGTGCAAATGCTTGAAAATTACCTGCTATGGAGATTTGTTTTCAAACTGTATGTAAGTCTCAATCATTATATTTACTGTAAAACACTCAAAAAAAAAGTAGCATATCCTTTCAAAATTTAAAGAACTGAGTACCGTACAAGATGAATAAACCGCCGGCGAAAGCGTCATTGGGGAGGGAATTGGGGGAAGATCATAACGCGTCTAATTCAACACTTGATAGCATTGATTTATAGGGGGTTTTTACCGTAGCGAAGCAAAAGTGGAAACCTATGACAACTAAGCATCCAATCCAGCATTTGATAGCATTGATCTATACGAGGGCTTGAATGTAGCGAAGCGGATATGCAAAACCATAGTATTCAGCAGCAAATTCGGTTTCTCATTTCCATTGTTAATAAGCTTGCCAACAACATACCACATCAACATTTGCATGAATTAGCTTTATTAAAATCAATATGCCTTCTATTCAAATTAGAAATTGCACAGGCTGCAGAACTGCCCTTCCAGAAGATTACAGCTACCAAAGTTATGATTCATGTCGTGTAAATAAAAACTATAAAGCAATACATAGCCAAATTTGACAGTTTTCAGACCTTTATATCTTGACATGTAAACCTTTCTGAGCCGTCGGAATAACGCTAAGCAATTGTACTTGAGTAGTAGTAACTTCCTGACACCTTTGGTCAACTTTTTGGAGACAAAAAAAAACATGGGCAAAAATCGACCAAAAAGCATGAGGTACCCTTCATGATTTTCATTGAAAATCAAACGATCGCGTTTTTGAACTTGAAAACGAAGACTTTTACTATGGCATATATTGAATCAAAATGTTTCTGTCGATCCAAAGCAACCTCTGAAACCACTTTTATGAGGTTTTCATATGCAAAATATAGCTATTTTCGCTAAAAACCTCATTTCATATTTTACCAAATTGCTCAATAAGTTTAGTCAAAACACCTATTACAATTAGCACCATTGGAAGCGCCTTAAAAAGTACTCCAAGAATGTATTAGGAAGCATCGAATGATCATTACAGTTTATATAGTCGAATTGCTCAAAATAAATTAAAGAAGTCGAAAAGGGGCAAAATCTGTCCAATCTTGAACAGAAAAAACTAATCTGCGTTTTAATTATTTTTAGTGGCGGCATTGCTGCTGGCTGACCCAAATGCCTTTCTGTTAATGACAATGATGATGATAATAATGATGGTTGCGATGATGATCAAATAGGGCTCATGGGGTTGAAGTTACAATTGCTTAGACCGAATAATTTCTTTTTCTTAGGAGTTTTTCCTTATAAAGGTGCCTTTTGCAATGACAATAACTCAAAAAAGTCGCTGTAGATCGTATGCAGTTCTGTATTTTCTTATGACCAGCTTTATAGTGCCCTCTCAAGAGCAACATCAGCGAATGGGTATCTCACTCTCCTGACTCTGATATAGCACCCTCCCCCCCTTTTTTTACTATTAATTGGTTGTTTAAAATCTACTTGATATGCCAGATTTTCATTATCTCTGATTTGAAATGTCTTTAGCAAGAGCCCACAGGGCGACGCTGACATCGAGCGTAGCGAGTTTGACCAGCTAGTATGATACAAAGCAGGAATCAAGCGTCTCCGTCATACTTCACTTGAGTGATCAAGTAAGGAGAGTAAATAACACGAATGAAACATAGCTTCATTATTCCCTTTCCAGAGGAACCACTAGTAGATCATGGCTTCAAATTGTAAATGAGTAAAGCAATGCACATTTCATACAAACTTTTGTTGTAAGTGATTGTCAATTGCAAGCTCACTCGACCTTTAGGGATGGAATAGACGATGCAGTGATCCATATGCAATGCAATTAGATTTGCAATATTACGGCCTTTGACTGCAGGTAATATTCTGGCGTCTACTCAAATTACCTCTCTGCCTGTTTGTGATGATTTGACATGGATAGCGCTTTTTGCAATGCATTTGCAATTGCTTGGTAGTTGCTCCAGAATGCCTGTAGACACGAAATGTATGCGAAATGTATAGCCATTTTCAGAATGACAGACATTTTTTTTAATACGACATTACGCCCTGCTTTGCCACACCTCGAGAGTACACACAAACGCTCCTAAAGCAACACTGCAACACCTTCTTAGATGATTAATAAAAACGAGTAGATCCAGTGGATGCTGTAAATGTGGGCTGATTCTTTGGCATTCTAGAATACTTGGTAGTATTGATAGAAAAACTAAAATGATTGTGTGTACCTCTTTTGTAACTGTATTGGGAAGATGTCTGTATACATGACATGACATGTTTAGATGATAAACTACCCAACGCTAGGATCTGTTTCTTTTCTATTATTTAGTAAATAACTGTCTGTACATGTACAACATGAACGGATAATCCGAAGATAATGTATCACCAAACCAAAAAACATGCCATTTCCTCATGTAACTTGTACAACAGTTTACAAACAACTTTTTTCTCCATTGCAAGCGATACATTTGGATGGTAGATGCTCGGACCAATGGACGTGTGTGATTTGAAGTTTATTGAATCATGTAATCTTATAGATAGCCGAGAAGAGAAAATCGAAACAAGACTTTGGTATACGATAACATATTCACATATTTATATAAAGAGAGGGGTGGGGTAGAGGTGATGTATATAGTAGTGAGGGTATAATAGTATTGTATATATAGATTTGTTATCAGAAAAAAAAAGTTAGGGGTGGGAGTTTGCGGTCAACGCTTATTTACATATAAAAAGAAAGTTGAATGTGTGTGTGATAGAGAAAGAGAGAGAGAGATATTGTGTACATAGATCAAGTGAATGAAGGCGATGAGCTGGAGAAACGTTTGTAGGAAGGAAGGAATGTAGTCAGTATATGGGTTCAGAGAATGGCTGCTTCAGACATATCATAAAATGGAGTAATAAAATCAAGAAAAGGTGCCATGGTTAGCTTAATAGTGCATAGAGTTGTATCACAAGAGTAAGGCCGGGGAGCCACTGCTGATGAAAGAAGCATCACCAGCTTTTTCAAATGCATTTTGAGGTTGTTGTTGTTCAGTGAACGAATACAGATGATGCGAAGAAACGGATGTGACAGAGGAGCGACTACTAAAGTTGTCATCGCAATCCGGTGTGTTGGAGTCTTCGTATTCGAGTTCTTCATCGGTTTCTTCAATAATGCTGTCCGTGCCAAAATGGTCGCTTGTCATTTTGTAAATCAAATTCTCATTTGCTTGACGGAGCTGATCAATTTCAGATTGGAAGCGTTCTTCCTTCTGAACCGTTTGTTTAACTAGATACATGTGGCATTAGACACTGCGAGTCAACATGGAAGAACACGCTGCTACTCACCATATTCAAGCGTGCGCTCAATGATAGTGCCTTTGGAAGGTCTGCGATCATTTTGCAAATTAGGTAGTGAATGTGCAAGCTGCTGGAATTTGGTGTTCAAACATTCACGACGTGCACGCTCAATGGCATTGTGCTCAGCTCTCTTTTGAGCTTTATTGCCACCCGTAGCGTTGCTGGCTCTATCTTGTTGGTTCGGGAAATGGCTATGAATTACATTGTTACACTTTAATAATTGTAAATTTTGGTGGCACTTTTTTTTTTTTTTTTTTTTTTTTTCTTCTGGTAATTCATTACCTCATAGAGTGAGAAGGAGGGGATGCGGAGGAGGAAGGTGAGTAATGACCCATTTGAGGTGTCATGAATTCGTTCAAATGTTCATTGGACAAGAGCAATGGGCCCATTTGATGGTTTTGTGGATTCTGATGAAGCATTTCTTGTTGGTAATACATCACTAACAGATCAAAATGTGATTAGATATATTTCAGGGGTGAGGCTCTCATTCAACTTACTCTCCAATGCTCTCTGCTGCTGGATAGCAGCTTGTTGCTGTACCTGACGAATGCGTTCAAGTTCAAGCTGCTGCAATGTCATATATTGCTGAAGATGCTGCTGTTGCTGCTGCTGAGGTTGTTGAGAATAAAATGCTGGATCGACGACATTGAATGTCTGATTGTAGTGAGTTTGCTGCATGGAGCTCATATTTGAAAAGAATGCGACAGTTTGCTTGAGGTTTTATAAGATATAAACAACAAGAGGAAAGAGAAGAGAGGAGAAAGAGTTTGCGAGCACGAAAAGTGGGTACCTTTTAAAGTTTTTTTTTTTTTTTTTGTTTATCACAAAGCCAGAGCAAGGGGTTAATCCCAAAGTGAAATGATTCCAAGGCAAAGCCAAGCAGCAAAGGGATAAACTCCCCGTCTTTTTTTTTTTTTTTTCCTGTGTGTGTATCTATCGTTTGGGTGCACAGATACTGAGTCTACACTACATCAAAAATACATGCATTCAGTATATGGTATGCATCTCTCTTGCTCTTGCCGATTTCGCATCATCCCTTTACTTTTATCTGTGTAAAATCCAAGGAACATGTCGGTTTAACTGATTCAAGAATTTCCGCACCCTCACATCAGCAAGTTACACGACTTGTCAATATAATTTTCTTGTGTAAATTGTATTGAAAAATTGGATGATGTTTGAGAAGATGTTACAAGAGTGATTCGGAACTAAGTTTGTGGTTCTAACCGTGCTTTCACTATATTTGTTCATTGCCGAAGAAACTAGTCTCTGTCGCATCTAGTTTGCCTTGCCCTGTTTACTGACTTTCATGTCATGGGCTATAGATGTCATTCCCGTCTTCTCTCTTTTGCCCAGTGCCCCTCATCCCTCCTCACTGGTTGCCTCATAACCCCAGGAAGACCAGGACATTGGGTCGTACAATCTGACGGTGCACGAGCCTTCAAAAACGAGCCTTGTCAATTTTTAAGTTTTTTTCCCTTAGATAAAGCAGTTATTGCAACACTCACGAACAGGCACAGTGTGTGAATATTTGCCTTTTAATTGGTGGTATGCAGTCAATTATGTGTATCTGCAAACAACAACAACAGCAACAACAAACAGTATAACCGGATTTAAGAAATTGGCTGCTGGAAAACTTGATCAGTTGTGTAACTGATTTCCAAAAAGAAAAGCAGATGTTACGGAATACATGCCCGATGGGAATATAATAAATAAATCAATTTTATTGTGCTGTTTGTGATGATTATTTACAATATTAATTCACAAGGTAAGGCCCTTGAATGTGTGTTTGATTGAAATTCAACGGTATAAAAAAAAAGACGGATCTGATTTGAGGATATTTACATAGAGTAATGGTCAACATTATCATATAAGAGGATGGCTTTTGAAGTGGAATATAGATGTTAAAATGCAGATATTAGGCCTTGGTTCTAGCCTTGATTTTGGTGGCAGTAGAGGAGCCCTTGTTATTTCTGTGAATGCGGATGTGTTGACTCAAATTGTCAGTTCTTGCAAAGCTTTTACCGCAATCTTTGTAGGGACAGGAATAGGCTGTGAGTAGAAGGATGAGTATAATGCGCTGAAGGGATATTCGCATGGATAGACTTACGTTTTTCTTTGGTATGGATGGACTTGATGTGTCTTTTCAAATGCTCTGAACGTTTAAACAACTTGCCGCAATCGTCATACTCGCACAAGAACTGCTTCGCATCAAGCTCACAGGAAGTCTCTTTGTACTTTTTGCAATCATTAGACGTAACACCAGATACATCATTGCGTCTAGCACGTGTTGATTTCTTGACTTTGGCTTTTCCTCCACCAGCAGCACAAGAACTGGCCTTGGTATCCCTCTTGTCATTAGCCTCATTAACGGTTTGTTTGTTTTCATCTTGATCATCATCATCATTTGTTGCTGCACTGTGATGTGACACAAAGGGTGATGGAGGAGACACGCAGTAAGCCTCTTGCTGTTGATACTGAGTAGGAACCAGCTCCAATAAATCGTAGATGGATAATTCATGCATCTGAGATGAGCATGAGGATGAAGACAGTGATGGAGTCATTAATTGAGAGGAGACAATAGTGGGTGTAGGTAGTGCATCAAACATCATGAATTGGCCCTGCTGCTGCTGCTGTTGTTGGTGTAATGGTGGAAATGTGAATTGGTTGCATAAAGGTGATTGCCAATCCAAAGGGCGTCGATAGGCTGATAGTTGATCTACAAAGCATCCGTTGCTGTGAATGCAAGGGCAGCAGCTCTTGTGGCTGTTACCAGGCAATTCGCTGTTCATGGCCAGTGGTGAGGGTGCTTGCTGATGATGGCTGTAGTCCAGAGTGGAGCCCACTGGTGATGTCTCGAGAGAAGAATCACTAGTATAAGAGAGATAATCACCATAGCTCATTCTTCGAGCAGTAGGAAAAGGAGGAGCCAGCTGAGGATCACTGTTGTGTCTAAAACGATGATACGTGATGGGGCTTGAAGGCTGATGTTGATTCAAGTAGTTGGAATACATATGATAGATTATGAAAGAGTGGATGAGAAAGAAAGAAAGAAACAAATGCATTCGACCGTGATTTGAATGCCCCTTTTATACTGTTTGATTTGATCGTATGGTTCAGATCATCATGTAATTTCCTTTTCATTTCATGCTTTCAAGGGCTGTATGATATACGCATATAAGAGATTTTCATTACACATCTTGTGTCTCTCCAATTAAACCTCGGACAGGGTTCCGAGAAGAGTTGAAGGTGGATATTCATTATACTACCACCACTACTTTTCACCCTCATGATCACTTTTGTTATTATTATTACAAGATCTGCATTTGACACTCGACCTTAAATAGGGGATGATTTACGTAGTTCTTGTTCGCAGAAGAGACCCATTTCTTTGTTCATATCAACAACAACCTTGATTATATCATAACAACAACCTTGATTGTTACACTCCATTCAATATCACATCTATCAAAATTACTCTCAGGCCACCTCGTGTGCTCCACACATTGGCATTATGCTTTTTTTTTTCTGCCTTTTTATTTAGACTTTCAATGATGTGCGAAGCACGAGTAAGCCGTGAGCCAATCAAAGGCTATACTTGGCAGGCAAAGCATAGTAAATAAAGGAGTAATAGGCGATAAACAAATAAAAACGTGCTCAGACTACATACTATAGTAAGGATTTGATCCGAATAATGCATAATTTTATTTCAAATGCTGCTGCTAACGATGATGTCCATCTAACAAACCAGCTTCCTCCTCAGCATCCAATGCATCAGCAGACTCTGGTTCGCTGTTGTTGCTAGGGGCTCTGAATAGTGCGATCAAGAAGCCCAGGATGAACGATATTAAAAATAGCCATTGAGAATAATAAAAGATGAGGCCAAAGATGGGAGTATTTAAGGTGATGCGGTCGATCAAAGTGGCAGAGACAGTTGGAGTACAAATTTCTATTGAGAATAGTCAGTACCTAGCAAACATTGGATTTATCCGATACTTACCAGTGGGAGCATAGATATCACAAGGCACAATCTTGTCTACCTCATACGTACAATCTCTTCTTCCTCCCTCGGTGTGGTTACACTGCAGTTGAGAAGTAAATTAGTGTTGTTCTGATTACTATTATGTGTGCATGACATACATATACTTGGCTACCATAATGCGCATATCCCGGCGCTACGACGGATGTGATGGAGTAGTTCAATGCCAACAAGCCAAAGGTGAGCAGAATGGCAGAGAAAAGCAATCCCTGTGGAGCAGTAGATCCTCTCTTAATACGGTACAAGGTGACCCAAAAGAATCGCACGCCAATATGAATGATGCCTGTCATGGTAGCCAGGAAAAAGTAGATGATGATGGCCACCATAAAGATATAGTCCAAGGGGAATAGCTAAATATAAATATAAATATATATATATATATAAATATATACATGCATTGTAAATGAATGCATACTATCTCATTACAACAACAACAACAACAACAACAAACCTTTTGCAAATGCACAAATATAAAGTTGATGGGATTAAATAGCTTGGGATGGCTGATGATATAACCACACTTTCTACCGCACACGGACCAAGTTACTTTGTCAATGCTATGATACATGTCGTCAATAGATATGAAATATTGGTCTGCTTTACAAACTTACATGGTCATAAACATGGATACAGCCATCAAGACGACAAAGACTAATATGATCAATCCGATTAAAACCTAACAATAAACAAAAACAAGTATGCGTTACACCAATAGAGTCGATAATAAACAAACAGCTCCTTATTTTACTTACTTGAAATGGTCTAAGCACCTTCAGTACTTTTTGAAGGAAATTGCCCTTATCTTCCTCAATGCCACTTAGACGACGCACAAGAATTCTGGATTCAAGTGTGTTATTAATAGACAAGCTCCATTTTAGACATCACAATTTAGCTTACCGTTCTTCGTCGTTCAAGTTCTCTAATGTACGGTAATCATGTGCTGACAATGCTTGATCTGATCCAGCATACTTGTGTTCAATCAAGCGCTGCTGTTCCCGGACCACAACTAACCGATGATTGATTTCATCATGTTCTGCATCAATTCTACGCTTGCCTTTAATTAAATTAAATGGTATAATAGATAAACCGGGTGCCTATGTATACCAAATGCAAGACATGAGTCTGGATGATGCGAGATGGAGTGAAAAATAGACTCACCGTATAGACAATGAAAACAGCCATGCCGGGTACAAATAAACAGCCTACAACAAACCAGATTGCCTTTGCTCCATCTATAATTGGAAATTAATCATGCTGCATTTTGTATAATCATTCCTGACGTACGACTCTCTGTGAGCAAATACTTGAACCAATCCAAATCAATGTGTGGAGGCAAGATGTTTGGCTTGAGGAATAAGCCAAATAAGAACAAACATCCAACAATGGAAACTGTAAAGATGGTGTATTTCAGTGCGCTTAATCTGCGTTGACTCTTGGATTGACCCTCCTCTTCGTACTCTTCATAATAGAAATAAGCATATGGGATCACGAAGAAACTAAATGCTACGATGGATCCGTAAAAGACTAACGATATAAAAAGCATGTTGGTTACCATGGCAACTTTACAAGCCCAAGCCTTAATCTTAATCCCCCCCCTTTCTTTTCATCTTTATGTCCCTCCCTCCCTCCCTCCCTCCCTCCCTTGATCTGATTTGACAGTTGATGTATTCATGCTTACCGTAATACATGATTTGAACTGTAAATGTCATCCAATAGATGGTATCTTTATCTGCCCATAGCTTTTTTAATCCAGTACGGGAATCCACGGTGGATGAAACCAAAAATATATCGACGGGTAGTAATGCAACGGTCGCAAATATCAATGCAAGTGCAATCATGGTGACAACCGTGGCTGATAACTCGGAATCCCTTCTACTTTGGTAATATTTTGTAAATGCAATACTAAATAAAGACAAGCACTGCAAAGGGTGCGTGTGTGTGTGTTATTATCATCCTTGCAAACGAAAAGCATCACTTACAAGAGCCGTGATTGCAAACACGGTCCATGCTATTCCTACAGCGGCAGGCATATTAGGCTGGTGAATTGCGATGGTGATGAATAAAGTTGAGGAAAAAGCGATAAATTCGAAAGCTTTATTTTGTATGAAATATCTAAAACTACAAATGATGTCATGATGATCTTTGTCTCACTGAAAAAGAGGTTGTTGTGTTCCTTTTGCCTTAATCCACTGTTGCAACAAAAGTGTCTTCTTCCAACAAGTCTGTTTGTAAGAGGCTTTCTATAAAGGGTAAATCAGGTTTGGATAATGTAAATGACGACTGGTATACGTATAAGCCAACATGCTCGATAAAGAAGGATAATTGGCGTATCGATGCTATGCTGTGCATGGTCAGCATGGGTCGCTTCAGAGATCCCAACGATGGCTGCATGCTGGACTCGGATAGGCTGAAATCAAAGGCATCTGCTGTGGTAATTTTGGTCATCTTTTCATTCAGTGATTCCATGATGGGTATAGGTCCTTCCGTTTTGGTTTTGATGACAGTTTCCACCGTGTCGCGAATAAAGATCCATTGATAGCTATAAGGCGTATTAGCCGATTGCATTAGTAAGGAAAGACGAACGAGACTTACATTTGAAAAGCATCCAGTTCGAGCGTACACAGCAGATCCAAAAACTTGCATCCAGCCAGTGCAATCTGTGCCTCCTCAGGTCGATCTTGGAAATCATTATATACAAACGAGTTGAACAGACGCATCAGTTCTGTGATCAGCAGCGGCCAAAAGTTCATGAGATGCTTTTGAGAGAAGCGCAGCAGGATGATACGCAGACAGAGATAGATCTCCATGTGCACCATTTCACCGTGATCCAGCTTGAGCAGTTCTACAATCTTTTCCTGAATGATGGGTAGTTGGGGCACGTACTGGTCTCTTGAACCTGCAAACAAGACAAACGAAAGCCTTCTTAGATTGAGTGATCGATTGAGTGTCTCTTGATCCTTGCTTGAGAAGAAGGTGTTGGAAGGCGAGGTTGTGATGCGAGCCATGAGCTCTGTCATTCGCTCCTTTTCAATGCTGAATGCTGTTTGTATGATACCCAGCCATTTCTTGCACGTTGCACTGTTCATGTAAAAGAAACGATTGTCGATAAAGACCTCCCAAATCTCCTTTCGCCACGTCTTGTAAGTGAATGGCATACGCGCCATCTCGCACAGCTGATCCAGCACCACAGGACTCTTGGTCTTGGACTTGAGTGAGGGCCCCACAACATAGTACACCATGTTGTTTAGCAGCGAGTTGATCTTGTCGTTGTCTCCAATGAGCTGGCGTAGACGAGGTATCACTTGATGTGCCAGATACTGATTGACTTGGGTGATCATAATATCTTCTCGCAGCTTCCAGCTAGCCTTCTTTTCCATGTCGGATACAATGCTGGTAGAGACATTGCGGGTCATGGTATCTGTAGTATGCGATGCAGTGCTGTGATTGCTGTGCTGTGTGATTTGGTTGTAATGTGTTTCATTGGATTCCACAGTATGAATTGATGATGTATCGTCACCATCATCGTATATTGTGCTTCTGCCACGCATCCACAGGCTCTGATCAAATGATTTGCCAGATATCAGAATACAGTAATCAATGCAACGCTGATATAGCTCTTGTGCGTCTTTGCGGATGCGTCTGTCCTGCTCGTACCCACTGGATTTCGACAGCTCCTCTAGAGCGACTGTCAAAAACCGCATCAAACTGGGCAGAAAGATCTTGTAGGTGTTGGCCTGCGAGAGATAGTCTTTGGAGAATGAGTGGATGATGGGCCATAACAAGACGATGGACTCGGGATTCTTGATGTAACCACAGTAAATCTCGGCGAACCTTAATATAGAAGTATCCGTTCTATATGTCATTGTAAGTAATTCGTATGTCATTCTGTCTGTAGAGCCAAAACACTTACAATTTGCCCTGGCGCAAGATCTTTCTTCGTCTGTTTTGGTACGTGCCAGGCGTTCTCTGTCGAATGCTCTCGAGCAGTGTAGAGATCACATGCTGGGGTGTGCTGGAAGGCGTGTAGGACAGGATATCCAAGGCGATCGTCTCAAAATGCTCCTCCTGCTCGGGTGTCTGATCAAATTCGAGTGCTGAGGGGTTCTCCATGTAGAATATCTCGGTCAAGCCCTCCACAAAATCCACAGTCGAGTACTTGAACAGCTTTTCAAAGATGATCTCCAGTCTGCCTTTTGCTTGATCTGCTGCGTTAGAAAAGCTGTGCAGGATGGCGTCTACTTTGGCATCCCCCATGGAGAGCATGGTCTGTTCGTCCCATTGCGGTCGTCGGAAAGCATGCCATGCGTTGAGCAAGATTTGCAGTACAACTGGCAAGTGGTACATCATGGTCTCTCTTGGTTTCTCGTTCAGTTTGGGGAGTTCCTCTGCATGCACGACTTGAGCCAGACCAATCAAGGCGGAACTGTCAGGGATGTGGGGAATAGGCAAGTCTGTGCTTGCATTGATAAACCACTCGTCATTCAGCACACGCTCCGTCAAGCAGAACATAAGCATCTTTTCAAGACCTATCAGGAGCACCATCACCTCCTTTTCAACCAACGTACACGAGGATGTGTTGGGCTTTTCATGGATGGCAATTTCAATTGTATCGCAGCGTAGGCTAATTTGATGGCAGATGCACATCAGCACAGGCACAACCAAGGTACGAAAACCATGCTTTATGTAAGGCAGTGTGGCCAACACAAAATCCATCCAATGCTGGAGCATGCTGCGATTGCTGGCCTTGGAGAAGGCGTCAGTGATGCACTTGACATACAAGTCAGAGGACGCCTGAATCAGTGCAATGGCTTCGTTGGGCTGCTGCACGATATGAACCGAATTGATGCTGTCTACTGAGCCCTTCTTTTGATGACCGTTAGGCGACTTGTCCTTATGTGTCGTGCTTGCACATGTAATCGCTAAACAAGCGTGTAGCAAATGCAGCAGTTTTTGCTGCAAATCCAGATTTTCTCGGGTAATGCAAAACAGTAGTTTGTGAAGCACCATCATTTGCACTTGCTGGACTAGCTTCATGTTGACAAAATCAAGCTTGGAGATGATGAGGTACAGTAAATCAGCCGCGTGGAGTTGGATGCTGCAAACAGGCTTGCCAAGTGAATGAACGATGGTGTCTCTCGGCTCGGTGTCTACATATCTAAAGCAAAACGGTGTCATCAATGGCTACTTTCTCTTCATTAGGAAGTTTGTTGGCTTACCTGATTGCAATCAATACTAACAGATCCAAATACGTCAAGGGTTTGCTGGTGTCGTAGTCCAATGCTGCTTGTGCCATTTTTGCAATCTTCCCTTCATGATCAATTGTGTGATTCTTGCATGTTTTCAGCACATTGAGACCACCGAATGTAATGAGTGTGATGAGCGTAGCAAACATGTAATCAACGACATCTGTATCAAACGCCTTTAAATAGACGAAATACGAAATGCGTGTGGTCTTTTGCTCTGTCTTGTTCTTGAATCGCTGTTCTCTCCATTCTACACTAAGCTCTGTGGATCGACGCAAAATGTGCTGATCCAGCATGGCCAACAGAAATGGCTCCAAGAGTCGCACATAGCTTTTTAGATGGCATCGAATCCACAAATCGCCCGCCCTTCGGTCCAAAGGCGAGGCACCGTCTCGCAGTAAATCCAGCATCAGGAACATGGGCCTTGAGAAGGTCATACTGGCGCCTGGCATACTGTCAGACAGCTCCCACACCACGCCAAACTTTTCATAGCTGCTGAGTCTCTCCTGATCATTTTCGGGGTGGATGATGTAATTGGAAATGATGGTTTCAATCTGATGCGGCAGAGAAGTGTCAATCAGCTGCCATAACAGCTCTACTGTGCGCATGTGAAGTAGCTGCAGTGATGGCGATAAAAACCCCCATAATCTGTCTACAATGGCTTTGATCTGTGAGGCGTGCTGAAGGACTGATGGGTTGATGAATCGCTTGTGTTTGACAAGCAATGTCAGTGTAGATAAGCCTGCATCTACAATGCCAAACACTTGCACTTGCTGACAGCATTTCAGCAGGACAGCAGTGAGTGCCTCTGATCGTTTCAATTCTGTGTCGTTGTCAGCATATTTGGCAATCAAAGTGAGAGCAGTGCAGGCAGCTAGAAATACATGCTCCAAATGGTGTTCAATATGCTTGAGTCGTTTTCCCTCTACACCGACATCGACGCCACTCAGCAGATTGTTGGCAATGATGTAATCGTTGACGAGGTCGATCAAAAAGCTGGCAAGGTGGTTGGAGATCTCTTTAACGAGCAATTGTCCACGTAAGGGGTCGTATTCAGGACGAGACTGGAACGGTTGATGCTGGGGCTGAGATTTCGACATGTTGGCAGAAGACGATAAATCGCCTGCTTCTTCATTGTTGCTGCTATTGAGTTGGTCTCCGTCGTTGTCTGTTTCTAACAGTTGTTTTGGCGATTGCTGAGATGATGGCCCTCCTACTCCTATGCCGTAAAACTCGCGCACATAGTCTAAAATGCTCATATCTGATGTAAACTGCTTACGACCTTCCTTGCTGTTGTCATCTTTGATTGCAGGTGCGGCTCGGTTCGAAAGCACAGATTCAGGTAAGCGATCCAAGAGGGTAAGAATCAGTGTGATGCACTGACTGACTTGAGGCAAAAGTTCAATGAAATTTGGGCGTTTCAGGGCATCGTTCAGTTTTTTACACAATGCGGCAACGATCAATGAAAAGTGGATTTGTCTGATTTCGTCGTCTGCAAAGTGGAATGACTCTAGTGTGAATTGTATCAATCGCAGGGTTTCCAAGTGATCGCTGAATTTGGCTCCCTTTTTGGGCGTTGTGCCTGAAAAGCAAGTGTCTATCAATTCGAACAGTTTCATGCAAATCAGGTACGGCTCCACCATGTCCATCCACATGTTGGCCGTTTTGATCACTTCATCGTGCTGCTTTTTAGATTTCATGTTGGATTTGAGACTGATCAGCGAATCCACAAACACATTGTTGACAATAGGTTGTCCCAACTCCCATTTATCCATCAATGAAATCAAGATTTTGTAAGGTCGTTGCTGCTCCACGTCTGTTGATGATGTGTCTGAATGTTGATGCTGTTGTGCCTGTAGCATGCCTCTCACTGCTTGTGTAGCTGGTTTCTCTGCAAAGGTGTTGAAATACAAGACTTGTGCCTGGGTTGTTCCTTCTGCTCCCAACAGCCATGCATACAAACGTCTGTTCAGCGACATGTCTTTTCGCAGCACAATCCCCAAAGCAGCTCGCATTAAAATCACTAAATCGTCGTGAGGAATCATGCGACTCTTGAGCATGAAATTTTGCACTAATAATTCCAATATGCCACGTTGCACCAGTAGTCGTTGATCATCCAGCGTTGAGGCAAAGGCTCTCACCATCAAACTGACATTCTCTTTGCCACCCAATACAAGAGCAACCGCTAAACAAAGGCCCTGTCAGTCTTACCACTATGAGCCCTCTCTCATCCTGCATTATATCTACCTTCTCTGTCTGTAATTTTGGGCAATTTTCGAAGCAAGTAATTCAACGCTGGTGGACGAAGACTTGGACTGCCAATCATCACCAACCACATACACGAGTAGAAGAAGGGTAGCTCTACCGTCTCTGATACACTCTCGATCAACAATACCACTTTATCAAAGTACTCGCTTCCTTCTTCCTCCAATGCTGGTAACAATGCAATGATGAATCCTCGCATGGCAGGTCGTAATTTGCCCTTTAATGGAATGTAGTATCTCTCGAAAATCGTCAGCAATTGAGGCTATACACAAGCTACATTAGTATCCCCTTCACTGTGTAGCATGCCGTATACTCTATTACCTTGACATGTGTAGCGGCATACTGAACAAACGGGAATAAACCTGTCGACCACAATGCTAAATCTTCTGCCAGCTGATCCGACTAGTCATCAAAATTAAAAACCGTGCTGTTTCGAGTATGCATGCAGCCAAGATACATTACCCCAATGGTCTTTAATATAAAAGCATACACTTCTAATGTCTTTTGATGAACACCAGCGGGAAAACCTGGATTTAAACATTGCGCTAATCTCTTGGCAACCAACTGCTTGCGAGGTATAATTGGAAATTGAGGATATGCTTGAAATGACTTGGAGGATATCAATAAAACGATCAACCTTTCTGTCAGTATAGCTTACCTTGAGTAATCTGCCGAGAAAAGAGATGATGTCTGCCCATTCATTCACTGCATCAAACGATTGCAAATTCTTTTCCACTAGTTGCACATATTTTCTGAATCTCGAGTCGTTTTGAAATGCTGGCACATTGTTAAATAAGCATTCGATTACACATGTGGATATACTCTTCTTTTACCTTGTTCAGTCAGTTGAGGACCTGTTCGAGGTAGCACTTGAGTTCACGCGTGAAAGGAGGGGGGGGGGGAAAGAATGCACTTTATGACTTACTTGGTACTTCAGGAGAACTATCCATGGTGTCGCTTGTATCTGAATTAGTGTCACTTAATGCTCGATTGGATATCTTTTTTAGTAGTTTCTGAGAGATGGAGAGCAAGTTGTCATTATCACTCATTCCTCGTAATCTTCAGTTAGTATATTAAAAAAGAAAGAAGGGAAGAACACAGCAAAAGAAAGAAACAACAACAGGCAGGTTTTTAAGTTTTTACAGATACTTACATTCAACTCCGTGTTTTATTCAAAAAATTACAATTACAAAAGGACCAACGTACATCACGTGTAGTATAGCAAAAGGTTAAAAGTGATGTGTTCTCTTCTTCTTGCCCACTCTCTTTTTGGATGCATTGGGGTTCTTGCGGCCATAGCCAATAGTGTCTGTACCAAACATGTTGTTGGTTACTTCCTTGGTGTCTAATTTGCCGTACAATGGGATGAAATCGGGGTCAAACATGTCCACAACATTCTTCTTTTGTTTCCTCTGTGTAGCCTTGATATAATCACGTTGATCCTCTCTCAACACAATGTTGTTGGATTTGCGGCCGCCCTTGGGAGGTGGGATATCGTATACTGTGCCACGCAATCTGTATTGAAAGTTCTTTTTCAAGTGATAAGCAATCTCGCCTTTGCTGTTGGTGCTGCATGTCACTCGCTGAAGTGTGGCATTTCCACATTTAGGACAAAACTTCTTCTCCAGGTCATTGGTGACAAAGAAACAAGCATGACATCTCATGACAGAGTTTCTGATCTTCTTGACTCTGTAACCACCAGCAGACACCAGGTTCAAGTTCATTTGCAACAAGACATTTTGCATGGCGAAATCGGCCGTCATACATCCAACGGCCATGATGGCCTTTTTCTTGAGTTCGTCAGCAGTGACACCAATCTCGGCTGCCTTGTATTCATCCACATTATCGGGTGTAATCCACTCTCCACCATCAGAATCAGAATCATCTTCTTCTGTCAATGGTATCTCGAGTTTCTTTTCATCTTGGTTGATATCCACCTTCTTTACTGCATCAGCAAGTGCCTCTTCCTCTTTCTTGGACTCCTCCTCCTCCTCCTTCTCCTTGATCTCCTCTTGCTTGGGCTCTTCCTTCTTGACCACAGGCAAAATCTTCTTGGGTGTATGATTGTATTTCTTGGCAGGTGCTCTCTTTGTATTGGTTGCAATCTCCCAGCCATCTTCATCTACTTGTTTTTCTAATTGAGGTCTCTTGATGTATGACATGGGTGGAGGCGCACTAGGAAGAGCACCACTTGGTCTAGACTATTGTAATAGAGACCAACCAGTCAGTCAACGCTGGAGCTGTCAGAAAATGTCCATTCAAGCAACTTACAGTCAAAGGCTCTGTGCGGATGTTAGCATCGCCATTCTCTCTCTTTTCCAACGTATATGTAAGGGCAAGCACTCTTAAATCAGGTTGTGACAAGACACCATAATCGCCAGTCTTTTTCGAAAATTCAGTTACTACAGACTCATGTTAGCATTTGACGTTTCATCAGCGGCATAAATCTTGATCTCCCATTGCGACATTTACCAAACTTCATTGCTTCTTCGGTAGGATTCAAGATCTTCAGTTCGAATGGCAAACGAGACAAGAATTCTCTGGAATGAGCACTTCGTAACTCGTACAATACTTCGGGGCAAGTGTAGAACTCTTCGGCCATGTTTCTCAATGACATGCCGTTGATGATGGCGTTGGTATCAATGACAAGGCATTTCAATGAGGCATTGGATTTTGTATCTACTTGTTGTTGTTGTTGTTGTTGTTGCTCTTCGACGGCTGGCACAGGTGCTACTGCTGCTGCTTCAGTGGGTTCTGACATTGATGCTGTTTGATTCAAAAGAGATCAAGAGAAAAAAGACAATATGAAAAAATCTTTTGGGATTAGTATGAATAAAGGTCACTTTAAATGGTCACGATGAAATGCTTTATCATCTATTTTGCATTTGTTTTTCAATACAAACTACTGCGAGCTATGGATTATACAATTGATGACACTGTGCTGTTCTATGCCGTTATCAAGAACGTCAAACATGTATTGAAACTGATAAAAGCATTAGAAATCAAAAATGTAACATTACATGTGGACCCGTCATTTGAGTTGTCATGTAAAAAACTGATGCACATTCAACGACTCTATAGGTGGTCTCCTTGTACATTCATGATGAGGGCATCATTCTGACAGTAGAGGATCAGCGAGCAGTGAAAGCAATGGCCTACTTCAAGCTGCACTTATTTCAGATATTCAATTTGAGAGAGGGCGTCAATGTGCCTGCACTCGGTCTGCCAGTTGATGTTCTCAGTAACGGCCTTCGAATTATGCTCCCTGCTTCAGAAATGGTCAATATCTTGCAAGGAGCAAACGACTATTGTGAAGTGATATATGATGGCACAGGCTCGTATGTCACATTAAGGCATGTAAACTGGCATGTTTTGCGTCTGTATTCTTGCATGATAAAACTGGATTTCATAGACGTTTGATCCGTGAACCCAATAGCCAACAACATCAGACTATGAAATGCGAATTAATACCCTTTGAGCCTGACGAAGAAAGCACTCAACTGCAGTTTGAGGATTCTTCCAATGAAGAGTCTCAAAGAATGATTATGAAAGTAAGTTGTATTATGGATGTGTGTCAATGTAATGGCTGCCAACATTTGGATGTGATCCAGTCTGTCTGGTTCAAGGATTTGATGAATGATCTGGATTCTGGATACAACAAAGTCAGTTTAACCATGTCACCAAATGATCCACCCTTTCGAGTGGTTGCTGAAGGCACTGATCTACTCACTGAAGCTGATTGTCCTCAAGATTCCGAGCCGTTCATCAATTTTGTATGTAATCGAGAATTGACATTCAGGTAACGATGCCAGTTACACAGAGATTTGATAATCTAAAAGTGACTGATCTGATGGATAATCTACCTCTTGTAGCTACCTCTACGCCCATATTGTGCAGTGTAAGCGAGCACTCGATTTGTCAAATGAAGTATCACTCGAGATGTACAATAATGGAGCATTGCGATTATTTGTAAGTTTCTTCAAGATGTAAATGCACGGTTTCGATGGCTCACATCTTGAATAGTTTCAAATTGAAGGACCCCTTGGCAAACTCGATACAGTTCAATTCAATGTAAGCATGATTTCGTGATAGATACCATTATTCTGATACTCATCCTAAAACCCCACATTTACAAAGTTTCTTCCATCAACCAATATTACCTAAAAAGGAAATGGATCGGAGATTCGAGGCATAAAAGAAATGGATCATAGATGCCCTATTCCTTTTGGAAAAACATACTTTTCCTGTAACAGGCTTTCCATTTTTCTATAGTTTGATTGATCACTCAACCTTCTAGCATAATAAAGTCACATCTGTTATCCATCTTGTTGCAAAAAATCAAGTATAAATAGCTGCTCTCCATTTAGTCTCTTTTGTTTTCCACTTTACTTCAATTACGGACACATTTCTTATAACCGACATGGCCACTACATCTAACACTGCCCCTCATCTCTGGCTTCGTGCCGAGACCAAGCCTATGGAACACAGAGCTGCTTTGACTCCTGCTACTGCCAAGATCTTGTTGGATGCTGGTTTCAAGATTACCGTTGAGCGTTCTGAACAAAGAATCTTTGATGATGAGGAATATGTCAAGTAAGTGGATGAACATGTTTCATGTCCATGACTTTAGTCAATTTACCAATGTGCGTGTTTCAGGGTTGGCTGTCCTCTTGTTGAAAAGCTCAGCTGGAAGACCGATGCTCCTGCTGATGCTTATATCGTTGGTTTGAAGGAGCTTCCTGAGAACGACGACTCTCCCTTGCATCACACTCATATCTTCTTTGCTCATTGCTTCAAGAACCAAGGTGGCTGGAAGGAGTTGTTGCACCGTTTCGACGCTGGTAACGGTACCATCCTTGATCTCGAATTCCTGAATGACTCCAATGGTACGTTTGTATATGCATGTCGTGTCGAAAAGTGTGGGAAACGTTGATATTAATCCATCGCGTGCAGGTCGTCGTGTTGCTGCCTTTGGTTACATGGCTGGCTTTGCTGGCTCTGCTGTCGCCATCGATGTTTGGTGTCATCAAAAGACTGGTGCTACTGAAAAGTACGGTGCCTTGACTCCTTATCCCAATGAAGATGCTCTCATCTCTTACACCAAGGATCGTTTGACCGCTGCAGGTAAAATAGTGCGATGATAAAAAGTGTGTGATGCTGGAAAATTGATACTAACTCGGTCATCCAGTTGCTCTCAACAATAACGAATATCCCAAGGTGATGGTAATGGGTGCTTTGGGTCGTTGCGGTACTGGTGCCTGTGATTTTGCTCGTAAGGCAGGTATCCCTGAGGAGAACATTATTAAGTGGGATATCAATGAAACCAAGAAGGGTGGTCCTTTTCCTGAAATTGTTCAATCTGATATCTTTGTCAACTGTATCTACCTCAACCAAAAGATTCCTCCTTTCATCACTCAAGAGTTGATTGATGGTGATGATCGCAAGCTTTCCATCATCTCTGACGTCTCCTGTGATACCACCAACCCTAACAATCCTATTCCCGTCTACTCTATCAACACCACTTTTGACAAGCCTACTGTCCCTGTTGAATCCTCCAACCCTTATCCTCTTGAAGTGTGCTCTATTGATCACTTGCCTACTCTCTTGCCCAGAGAAAGCTCTGACATGTTTTCCCACGATCTTCTACCTACCATGTTGGCTTTAAAGGATCGTGCTACTAATCCCGTTTGGTCTGGTGCAGAAAAGTTGTACAAGGAGAAGTTGGAGGCTTCAAGAGCTTAGGTCCCATCATCCCAAGGTTTATTATTGTTCATTTTCCCATTGAAAATTAATTAGTTTTTCATACCATTCTTGTATATTATCATTAAATTTCTTGTCCCTTGTTGATATTGTAAAATTTTGCTGAATTTGTTGAAAATGGATTATCTTTGAGCAATGGGATGAAGGAACATAAAGTCGGCCAAGCATGCAATGAATATAGAATAAATTGAAAATGCTGCCTTATTACAACGATCATTTTCTGGACATGGTAACCGAAGAGCGTATTTGCTTAATATCTGATGGCTCTTTCCAAACAGTCTCTTATTTTTTTTGTATATTTTCATTTTAGCATAATTTCATTAATTGCTCTTTTTGTTGTGATGGAACAGCGAGATCATTGCTTAGAAGGAATGAAAAGTATACTTAGCAATCACGATAGAATCTAGACAAGAGACATACGCTGAGAGGGTATGTTTTTGTATTTTTCAGTGTTTTGTACCTAAGGCTTGCTAGCAATTGAAAGATCCGTCCCTTGGTCATATGACACGCTTGGTTACTGGTTCATTGGAGCCAAAGCATCTGATAGTGTTTACTCGCTGAAAAACGTATGAAGCGAAGAGAGCTTCACTTGGGGGTTACTGTTTTATAGCCTCGCATCAATTACTGAAGATACTAATGCGTCTTCAGCATTGTTTTCAAATGAAACTACATTAGCAATGTTATATCAAATGTCCTAGTAGGACCTCACACTAAAGGTCCTCGACTATTCTTAGGTCCTTTGGGTAATATCGTGCTAATCATGATTCACAAATCATTAGTGGGACAGATAGTAAACCTATGTGTATCATAGTTTATTGTCATGCTGTAAACCCTAACATAAGGGAAAGTATTATATAAATGCATCCAGTGGATGCATTCTCAATAAAAGTATAATTCTTAGGCAGATTCAATTTTACATTATATTTTGGCATAAGAGGCAATAACAGAATTAATACTGTGAGATAGAAGTGATAATGTATCAGCAGCAATGAGGCTTTCAGGTGGCAATGCAGCGAGATTAATATCAGCATTAAAATTGATTGCCTTGTGAAGAAAAAAACTACCAGTCTCTTTTCATACGTTCGAATTTCGGATGAATCCGGTGAGTATTTGACGAGATATGGACAAAAAAGGGTATCATGCAAAATCATCGATTGTTGTTCAAAATCTGCCTGTGATAGCAAGCAAAAAATCTGGTGACGATTTTTTGGTCAGGACAATACTTTCAATATTTCATGATAGAGTTATGCCAGAGCTTCAAGCAAGAGCTCATTCGATAGGAAACTTTTTGATCTACAATGTTTAGTAATAGTTAACAAAATGTTCTGATGGCAGATACTGGTTAATCTTTAGAAAACAGTCAAAAAATTGCAAAAACAATTGTACCAGATATCAGGTGAGCAATGTACGCCAGAGACTTGATATAAATACCATTGTATTTTCCTTTGAATTCCCTACAAGCTTCATATACGTTTGAAGGGGTGATTACTATCAAGAAACGTGTAATTTTAAGGTCGATAGATTTCGGAATCCCATGGACCATCATTCAGAACAATAGAAAGTGAATCTCCGTTAACCTTCCGCATGTGTACATCACACAAGTGTGCATTTGACCAAGCATTTTAAAAAGCGGAGCGTACGAAAAGGGCCATATTGTTGCATACAAGCATGCATCTTAGGGTACATTCACTTTCTCCTCAGGCCACCTTTTACAGTGTAGCAGCATAGATGATGTTTATCGTATCACATCACATCTATGTTTACAAGTCCAGTAAATTGTGTGTGCACAGGTGCCTCAGGAACTACAATACATTCAATCTCCCTAATGTCAAGATATCGAGATCCACCTACACTACATGAAACATATCAACTTAGGTGGCCTCTCAACAAGCTATACCAACAATCCATAAGGCCTCAGTGGCCTGCTATTTATATACCATCTCAACGTAATAGTCATTGACCAGGGATCTACCATATTTAAGCAAGCTAGAAGCCCTGTAATAAAGAAGTTTTTTGCTGTCGTTTTAGATACAGCTGACAACTGATTATTAGCATCGACTTATTATTACAAATTCATCAAGATGCCACAGCATCGGAAATGATAATCTGATCAATGCTGACATGTTCCACAATCTATTGCATAGCATTTGAGATTTAATGATTCCACAAAGTAAAACGTAAAGCAACAATATAGATTAATGTCTATAGAAATCAACGTGTCTTAATTGCATGTAAAACGAAAAGATCCTGTATGTCAGTAAAAAAAGAAGAGCCTTTACACATTTGAATTTGGCTTACAGTGTTAGTGACGATAGAATGCAATCAGTGCTGCTATTGCGACGTCCGGCAAAAGTAATTGATGTTTGATTAGAGAGATAATAAATTCAAAAGCACCAGCTGCAACAAGAATCAATCCAAGTAACCATGACCAGGCTTGGAGAAGCTATTATACTAGCAATCAAAGCAGTTGTAATGCAACATTGAACACTGAATGTGTTATATTAGTTATTGTAATAAGTTGTTTATCCTCTTTTAAAATGCTGTGCAATTGTAATATCTAGGTATTGTTCGCAAACTTAAGTGTTTCCTTACTGAATTGTTTTCATTGAGACATGAACAATGCCCATTCTGAAGAACATTACAGGTGTGATTATACACTCTTGTTTCCATTTGATTAAGCTTTTATTATTACAAAAGACAATATCATATTAAATAGCAAACCAACAGAAAATCAGCTAGTTGTAGACGTTTTCTCTTTCAACCCTTCAACCAATCAGATTGCTAGAAAACTCCGCTGACCTAAAAAAAATTTTGCGAGGGTTTCCCTCTGTTTTGATGTGAGGCAAAATTTTAAGCGCCGCTATAATAGCAATATAGCCGCTGCTATCATCAAATTTCCCTCAGGTGCTAGAGCATGCCTTACTTACACCACCTAGTTCTAAATTCTGGCATTGAGACTCTCAATCATCACTAAAGTAAGTAGTGATAACCAAGTGAAGGCAGCCTATCCACCTCCTAGCCTCGGATAAAGTCTTGTTGAGCTTCAGGGATAGGCACATCCACACAACGTAAAAAAGGTATGCTTCAAAGAAACATAATAATAATAAAAGAAAGAAAAAAAACCATATTTCTATTATACGAGGAGTATAGCAGTATATACGAAGAAAAAAAAAGACACTCACACAGAGTGGGTCAAAGAAAAGTATATCACAAATACATCATCAAAGATGTTCAGAACAGCTCGTTATTGTTGCAATAAAAATGCACACATGAGCAACGTGCATGGTAACGATAGTCGAATGTAAAGCAACACAAACACGCACAGCTGCAAAAGCAACAGTGGTATTATCAGTATGCAATGCAACATAATGACTAATGTTGTTTTATGTGAAGCCACAGAGGCAACACAACCAGCAGCGAAAGAAGAAGAAAGTGCCACAAAGGAAACATTATGAATGCATTATCATGAGAAAGGAAGCAATAATACAAACGTTCAAAGAAGTTATATATCATTGCGACCAGAAGAAAGAAGATACTTACCACTTACCACAGACACAGATAGACAAGAGAATAATATGCAATTACCAGAGGCAGGCCAGGGAACGATCATGCACCAAATACAGTAGACCAGAAAAAACCAGATTAGCAGCAGCAGCCACGCCAGCATCATAGGAAAGCCACAGGATGAACGACACTAGAGACCAGACAAAGACCAAAAAAGCAACCACCAGACATGATAAACCAAACAAGCAAATATTAGAGATAGTAGAGAAGTAATGGCAGCAGCACTCGCATCAAGCAGACAAAAAAATCATCAAAACCCAATAAACAAATTCAATTAGTGTTAATTGTACGCCTTTCTGTGCTCGTTATCGAATAGTACCTATTATATTCCACTTTAAAAAAGCAGCATCAAGCCTTTCTGACAGTACAATACAGCGTTATCAGAAGCTAGAGTGTTTTTATCAATCAAACGGTTTCCAAAACCGCCATGGTTTGATACTACACGCGTTTTGCAAAAAGGAAAAAAAAACGGTGGTATGGGAAAATGAGAGGGCGCCCTATACGACGTCACGGCCAGTAGATTTGGTCTCAGTCTTTTGCCGTGGCAGTCGTTATTGCGGCAATTTAATTTGATTTTGTGTAGTGGGTGTTTTCGTGTTCAAATTTGATTTGATTGGACATCCTTTGAACGTTTTTGCCAAATCTGACTATGAAAACTGTCGTTGCCACACCCAACTTCCTAATACATCTTTAGACGACTAAAGAAGCCGCATCCAATGGTGCCAATTACATTAAGTTTTCAGACTGAAAGTAATGAGCAATTCGCAAAAATATGAAAACAGGTTTTCTGTGAATAAATCAAAATTTAGCATATACAAATCTCATATAGATAGTTTCCAGTGTTGCATTACATCTTTACAATCGACTTGATCTAATATACATCATAGGAAAAGTCTTCATTTTTGGGGTGAAAAACGCGATTGTTTGATTGTCAAAAAATTCCCCTTACTAGTACACATGAAAAAAACAAGAATTTCGATGGATTTGCAACGACCCAAAAAAATTGAGATAAAGCATCAGTAAGTAGAGCGTGGCCAGGAGGAGCCGTTTGGCCCTATTCCAAGCGTCCACAACGCTTTGTAACATGAATTATTTGTGCTTCAAAATGACTAAGTTTGGACAGAATTTGGTCTAAAAATAATGCATACTATGTCGTGCTGCCAAAGAAGTAAGTAAATTTGAGTTCTGTTTAATGCTTTTGATGTTTTGCGTTGTATAGAACTCAATCGCTAAGTAATAGAAGCTTTTATTCTAAGGCTTAAGTCGTTCTTTCTATTTATAATGCGTGTGTGGAATTTGAGGCTTGATAGACTAAAATTCACGGAAAAAAAAAGAATAAAAAAAACAGTAATGTCAACTTGATAAAGGTATGTTTTATTATCAAACTGACAGGTGTAAAGTAAACTGAGGTCTCTCTA